TAACAATTAGTAATTTGTGTATTTTGAAATGGAAATTAAAAGTTGTTTATCAGTCGATGAACAGAATTAGTAAAATCTAATGTAATGTAATTGTACATATATGGCACATGTTTATATCCGAAATTAGCTCATGTTTACAAACACGCTTAAAATGAAACGTATATTCAACTTGTATTTTACATAATGGATGAAGTGGACTATATCTATATTGTAAGTCAATGTTCTTTGTGAGCATTCTAGAATGATAAGTACTAGCAAGTTTCGGTGTTTGGAAAATAATTTAAAAGGCATGCGAACTCTGTAAAGTCTAAAGTAGTTTTGAAATTATTTTGTTGTGTTGGCGACAGCTAATCGTTTACTTGTTACGGGAACAGATCTGTGATGTGAAGGTTCGTTGCTATTTTGGTTTCAATCCATTTCAGGTTAGAAAGGGTGAATCGTCTGGTAATTTACCTACCCACTATAGCACTGCCACAATAGGAGTGATCTGGGGTCATGGCCTGTATGACCCTACATATCCTCCTATCACAGATGAAGAACAGAAGAAGCGGCGCGAGCCAACAGATGAAGAGGAACAGATGAAGAACAGATGAAGAGTAACAGATGAAGAACAGATGAAGAGGAACAGATGAAGAACAGATGAAGAGGAACAGATGAAGAACAGATGAAGAGGAACAGATGAAGATGTAGGGCGTATCCTCCACCCATTTTTGGTAAGTTGATCTTACACACTTTTTTAGACTGATTGTAGCTCATTTAGTTGCAGTTTTGAAATCTTGACGTAAAGGTTACAAATCTAACAAATGGTACTAAATGGAATCCTTAAAATATTGTTTAGTAAAATCTCAAATTTCAAACATTGTGAGGACTGTACTTCATTCTTTAGAGTGTTGGAATCTTGACTTCATTGGTTTTTCTTCAAACAAATGATGGCTATTGGTTGTATTTTAAAATGGCAAAAACAATACTGATGATTTTTAAGAATTGATTCTAGTCAAACTTTCTGTAAATATGATGTTGACAAGATCTTCAAGAACCAAGCAGGCCATGCTTATTCCTTTCTGTAAATATGAATATACAGTGAGATTTGACTAAGGACCAGTAAGTTAACAAGATCTTCAAGAACCCTAGTTGTTATTCTTGAAAAAATAGTCTTGACTTTTGTATTTTCATAAAGATCTATCACACCGAGATTACTGTTTCTGTTTGATTTTCACAAAACTTGGACAGGTTGGATTTGGTGGTTTTGATGATTTGTATACAAATGGCCATTGCTACTCGCCAAGCAGGCCATGCTTATTCCTTTCTGTAAATATGTATATACAGTGAGGTTTGACTAAGGACCAGTAAGTTAACATGATCTTCAAGAACCCGAGTTGTAACTCTTGAAAATAATAGTCTTGACTTTTGTATTTTCACAAGGATCTATCACACTGAGACTACAGTTTCTGTCTGATTTTCACAAAACTTGGACAGGTTGGATTTGATGGTATTGATGATTTGTATAGAAGTAGCCATTGCCACTCGCCAAGCTTATTCCTTTCTGTAAATATGAATATACAGTGAGGTTTGACTAAGTACCAGTAAGTTGACATAAAACATAAAATGAACAACATCAATAATAACTAAACATTTAAAATATAAACTTTAGAGTTTTTGTTGTTTGGAGTGTCCTATATAAATGTTAATCATTTCGATATCGGAGAGGTCTTTTCCGATTACGCTTAGGTCGTTGATACGAATTGAAAGTTTTAATACTTCCATCACTTGAATCATCATGATCAATATTTGATTGATTTGAAACACTATCAGGATTTATATTCTGATTTGGCACAATAGTATGATAATTTCCGAATATAGCACTATGATCATTTTGATTTGGCACTTTATAAGATATATCATCAAATACATTTTTATTTGATGTTTCACTTTTGATTTCCCGATTACGATTACTTTCATAATACTTCTTAATATGTGTAACATTTCGCTTATAACGCACATAGGGTTTCTCTACAGTTTCCACAATTACACTATTTCCAAATTTGTGAATAACTTTGAATATTTTAGGATTAAATTT